CATCATATTATTCCTTAATATCTTCTTTGGATTCTCACTCGATTCCCAAGAATTTGTCAGAAGCTCTATCTAACCTAGGTTGAACGGCGGCAATGCAAGAAGAGATGATTGCCTTAGAGAGAAATGAGACTTGAAATCTTGTTTTACTACTATCAGGGAAGAAAGTGGTTGGTTACAAATGGTTTTATACTGTAAAAGTAAATCCAAATGGCTCTCTAGCTGGCCTCAAAACTCGACTAGTTGCAAAGCGATATTGACAGATCTATTGCCTTGATTATATCGATACATTCTCTCATGTAGCTAAGATGACATCTATCTGTATTCTTATTTCGCTTACCATTGGCTACTACATCAGCTGCACGTGAAGAATGCATTCCTTAATGGAATTCTTGATGAGGAGGTTTATATGGAGCAACCACCAAGCTTTGTTGCTTAGGGAGAGTGTAGCAAGGTTTGCAACTTAAAAAAAATCCCTCTACGGCTTGAAGCGATCTTCGAGGGCTTGGTTCGGACATATACATATATATGTATGTATATATATATGTACATATATATATATACATATGTACATATCTATATGTACATATGTACATATCTATATGTACATATGTACATATCTATATGTACATATGTACATATGTATATCTATATATCTATATATGTACATATATATGTATATATGTATGTGTGTGTGTATATATGTACATATATATATACATATATATTGTTGTAGTTGTTTAGACCTTTGGTCTTCATCGATCTCAGAAAGACCACTCAGTTTTCTGAAGATTTCATAGTGAGAGGTGGATACTTTTGGTTGTATATGTTGATGACATTGTGATCACCAATGATGATGCACATGGCATTAGTCATTTAAAGAAGTGTCTACAATAACAATTTCAAACTAAGTACATTGGATTCTTAAAATATTTTTTTGGGTATTATGGTGGCTAGGTCGAAGAAGGGAATTCTCTTATCTCAGAGAAAATATGTGCTTGATTTGTTGCTAAATGCTGGGATGTTAGAATGCAAGGGTATTGACTCACCTATAGATGACAACGTTCAAACTACTACCAACTCAGGAGGTTTTATTGGAGGATACTAAAGAATATAGACGACTTGTAGGGAGTCTAATCTACCTAATAGTTACGAGATTAGATATTGCATTTTTCGTTAGTGTATCTAGTTAGTTTCTCTCCGCACCTAGGAAACCTCATATGAAAGTTGTTAAGAAGATTCTTAGGTATCCTAAGAAAACTCTAGGAAATTGAGTACTCTATTCAGTTAAGGGTCACACGAGAGTTGCATGATTCTCAAATGCACATTAGGCAGGACCTCCTGAGGACAGATGGTCAACTACTGCATATTGTGTATTTCTTGGAGGAAATCTAATATCATGGAAGAGCAAAAAACAGAGTGTAGTCTC